CACCACGCCCAGCTCCATGTCTGACTGTAATGAAAGTTTTTTTTTTTTTTTTTTTTTTTTTAATTTAAGAGGAAAAAGAGAAAAACACAAAACAAAACAAAGCAGTGTAAGGTTACATATAATACAGAACTACAAAAAAAAGCATAACAGTAAGAAATCACCTGTTAATAGATTACATATTATCATCTTGGAAATAGTTGCTCAAATCACAGTATCAAAGAATACAAAGTAGACATTCAAACAGAGAGACTTGTAATGAAAGTTTTAATACTCCTCTGCAGGATTTTGATGAAGATCTCAGGTGCTCTCTTGTAGACAAACTAGTTTGGGTTTTATTGTTGTTGCTGTTGTTCCTTTCAGTATGAATCCAGAGCCTCGGTGCTATAACAATTTAGTGAGAAAATGTCTCAAAGTGGAAAATAATAAAATGGCTAATAAGAATATCCAACTAGTTTTCATGTTGCTCTTCACTTTGGAGTCCAGGTAAGCCTGGAATTCTGTGTTGTCTGGTTGTGGTCACACCATCAGTGTCGGTTCATCAGGATAGAGAAATTAGAGCCTAAGGTTAACATCATTGGGAGTCTTATTCCTGCAGTTTGTGTCATACGATAGGTTTAGACTTGATATGTGTTTATAAAAGCATATGCAGTGGAGGAAGCAAAATGTAAAACAGGTGTCAACAACGCAAATATGACACCACACTGCAGTGTGAAAACACTGTGGTCATTACACTGCCCTTTAATAAAAATGGACTTTTAACTGCATCAGTTTTTCTTAGTCATGTAGTAAATCTTCTGTTTACAGAACTTAGCCTGAGTATTGTGTGAAAGTCAAACAGCCAAGAAATACAATTTCCTCAATAGTCTTTGTCTTGCCCTTTTACAGATGGTGTAAAATCAGGTGTGTAAAATAAAAAAAGCAGTTTGAGCTGACGTGAAAGGTATTTCAGATTTATGCTTTGCAGATGATATTGGTATGATTAATGCATTCATTGCCTTTTTTATTGCTTTTCACAGATAATGTACACGATGCATGGAAAATGTTGTGGGTTTAAATCTTTGCCAGGGTTAGACTGTGCCTATCAGCAGATGTTATCATAGAATACCATAATGATTATAAAATTAAAAAAATTTGTTATGAAATATATTGACATAAATTTCATTTATGTAATTTTCATTCTTCAGTCTGAAACCTCAGTGTTGTGTTTGGGGTTTGTGAAGCACCGTAGATGAGATTAACTTTATATAAAGTCACAAATGGGTTGTTTAAATTTAACTAACAGTTATACTCAAGGGCTGGGGAATTACTGAGGCGTTTGTTTTCAGCCTGTATTGCTGGTAGTTCTTAAGTAGGCTGCTATGAATTAGCAACAATGGTTGCTGGCTGCAGAAAGTAATTGGAAGGAGACCTTAAATAATAAGAATATTTTGGTCTTGCTCTTTTCCATTCTGTTTATGTTTTCTCTTTGGTATATTTTCCTACCGCTTCAGTATGGCCACTGTGAGTGGTGTACAGGTTTGCGCAGTGAGTTTTGGCTGTGAAGTTTTGGTGTATTATGATTTTGACAAAGAAACTTGCAGGATATAGATATTGATAGATTATTTGAATCAGTTACCTCTTCTCGGCAGCATGACAGTGCTGTACTCAAATTCATTTCTTGTGGTTTAGTTGAGGACCATTTGGTGTCTGTCATCAGAAAAAATTTGGTCCAAAAGTATTGTCTTAGTTACTTTTCTTGTTGCTAAGACAAGATACGTGACACCCAAAGTTAAGAGGAGGAAAGGTTTTCCTAGGTCGTATCACCAGACTCACATGTTAGGTTCCTGTCGCAACATTTTTAGATCCAGTTGTGATACAGAAATGTTTTATTATTGATGTTGTTGGTGTTATTTTTAGGAGATATCTTGTTTTCCAAGTACTACCTGTTAGATTACTTTCCTTCCTTTAATGGGCGTCACCATACTTCCCTGAGAAAGCGAATGCTCTGTCACCAGCTGATGCAAAGCTGTGTTTATTTGTAAGTAACCCAGGTATCACTGTTGAGCAACCAGAGGTCATTTAATTATATCATTCTCGTCAGTCCTATCCAAACAGCAAATGCTGCTAATGAGCCTGTTGGCTCCCTTGGTCTCATGCAGCCGGTACATACACTGTCTTCACCATCGCAGCTCTGGCTTTGGGCTCTCATCACACACCTGCAGCAGCCCCGGAAGGTGGGCCAAGAGCTGTGTGGTCTGGCTCTGCTGGTCTGAGCGAGCTCAGTGAAGATCTAGAGCTGGCAGCCACTGAGAGGCTGGCACCACCTGGCCCAAGGTGCAGATGGAATAAAATGTAAGGCAAGAGCTTCCAGTTTTGTTGGGGAGGTGGCACATCCACATTTGACAAGGGAAATTTTTTTTTCAAATTGGTTATTAACCATCACTAAAAGTGGAGAATTAGTCAAAGGGGATGCGCTGCAGCATGGCTGCTCGAAGGAGTTTTGAGTTGTTACTAAAAGATCTGGTAGGTTTTGTGAGGGAAGAGGCTAGGAGAGGGTATGGCAGGTGGCATAGGTCAAGGCTAGGAAGGAAGGGTCACATCTTATTTGCAGTGTGTTGGGAAATGAGGGTGCTAAGATTGATTTAGTGAGCTGGGATGTGGATTGGCATGCGGGCTCCCTCCCTGTAGGGCACTCTCCTCTGGGTTTAACATTGGCTCAAATTAAGGGTAGCTGAAAACAAACTCTTTTATCTTTTTCCCTTTCCTTCAGCCTGGTTGTTTCTGTCGGAAGTCTCACCTCCTGTCACATGGCCAGGCCTGAAACGGACGAGGCTCCAGGAACTGCCCAGTCATCCTGCAGCGTGTGGCTGGTCTGGGCGTGCCTCCCCGCTGCATTGCTCCTAAGCAGCTGCCTCAATGCTTGTCACCTTTAGGCTCTCCCTGCTCCTGTTCCTGCTGGCTTGAGTTTCTGTTGGCCTGTGTGGCACTTTGTTGTAACCATATTGGTTTCAGTTCAGAAAATCCCAGTGCCTTTTTGTTGAGTCTTATAGGACATTTCAGAGGTTTTCAAAGCTGTCCCCAGTTGTGCCCTACTTCTCATTACTCCTCTGCAAGCAGGCTCTTCACTGAGAGATTAGAACTGGAAGGTGCCAGAGAGCACACAGTCATGCCCTCACTGAAGATGTGAGAGGGTGAGACAGGGAGTCCCCTGACCAGGAGTCCCCTGACCAGGGCCACTGAAAATTAGTAGCCATGCTGGAATTGGACCAAGACCTCTGGCATCTCAGCCTCATTCTTTCCTGCTTTTATTTAAGTCACCATTCTTCCTGCTTTCCCTCGTCCCACCTCATCCTACCTCCACCTATCCCTATCCTACCCACCACTAGACTGTTTTTACATACCTAACACTAGTAAATAGTAATGAGCACTTACTTTAAGTTAGGCACTGTGTAAGACTGTGAATGTGTAGCAGTTAATTAGGCAAATACTGTCTTTATCTTGATGGAGCTTATGGTATAGAGGGGGCAAGCAAGTGTAAACAAAGAAAAAATCAATACACAATTACAATCTATGTGGAGCTCTGTGAAGGGAAATCCTAATAGCTAATCCCCAGTGAACACACTTACGGACTTTACCTGTATTCCTTCATTCATTCAGTTAATCCTCATGAAACTTTTTGAAATACATATTATTTCCCTCCTTTTGCATTAGATTAAGTGACTTGGCCATGGTCCCACAGCCGGTGAGCATGGAATCAGGATTGACTCCTGGCAGGCTATACTGTGAGCCATCAGGGACACCGTCTACCTCTGCAGCAGGAAAGGTGTATGAGAGACATTAACAGGAGACCTAATGCTGGTTGTAGAGAGCAGTTGGGAAAGCTTTAGTAAGGAAGTGATAAGCTGATGCACTACTTATTTATTTATTTATTTTTATATTTTTGTGACAAGGTGTCTTGGTTACTTTTTTCTTGTTGTTGGGACAAAATACCTGACACCAAAAATTAAGGAAGGAAAGGTTTATTTAGCTCATTGTTTGTGGAAGTTTCAGTCCATAATCAGCTGGCTCCAAGGCAGGGTGGGGCAACATTTCAAGGCAGCAACCAGTAAAAGTGGCCAGAACAAAAGAGGGGTGGGTAGCACTCACAAAATCTCCTTTCCCTCCTCTTGCACAGGATGAGAATGTTTACTAAGTAAGAACCCTGACTCCCTGCTGAGACTCTTAGTTAAACTTCTGTTTATTTACTTATTTTTTGGTATCAGCATTGAACTCATGACCTTGCATTTGCCAGGCAGGCACTTGTGCCACTGAGCTAAATCCCCAGGTTAGTTAAACTTCTAAATTGCTGAAGTTGACACAATGTATCAACCATAACAGAAGGTTTTGCTATACAGATCAGAGTGCCTTAAACACACTTTAAGGCTGGCCTCACACTCGCAGTGATCCTCCTGCTTCAGCCTTCCCATGCTGGGAATCCAGGGATGTGCCACCATGTCTGGCATGATGCACTTTTTAGTAAAGATCAGTCAAAGGATATAGAGGATGGAGTTGAAGGGGCAAAAGTGAAATTGGGGAGGATAGTAGGGAAGCTATTGCCTTCATCTAGATGAGACGACATTGCTGGGGTAGACATAGTAGGGACTGTGGACTGGGCAGTGACGGGAAGCAGGGAAGTACAGAGATTAGAGCTGTTTAGGACGTCACGTGCTCAGAAACCAGTGGTAGCACACTTAACACTTGTGGAAAGTGCAAATATAAAGAGACTATCCAAGTTTCTGTGGTTATGGAGGAGTGGTGACGGGTGTAAGAAAGAAGACTAGAGAATGATGAAAGTAACTCGTAGGTAGTTGGCAGTGACATTTACGTTGACTGAGCTGGGGATGTGTGGGAGAGCAGCAGGGCTGTGGTATAGGAGTCAAGATTTCTAGTTTGAACTCTTACTTGTTTTTTTGTTTGTTTTGAGACATAGTCTCTCTATGTGGTCCAGGCTGACTTCTGAACTTTTCATTTTCTTGCCTCAGCCTCCTGAGTGCTGGGATTACAGATGTGTTTTGCCATGCCCAGTTGGTTTGGACACTTCAGCCATGCTAGGGCCTGAACTGAGGACCTCATGCATACCAGGCAAGTTCTCTACCACTGCACCACACCCTCAGCCTTGGACACCCAAATGTCAACTTTAAGAAGGTAGTTTTAGGGGCTGGGGATTTAGCTCAGCGGCATAAGCGCCTGCCTTGCAAGCAGGCAGTCTTGAGTTCGATCCCCGGTACCGATAAAAAGGAAAAAGACAAAAAAAAAAAAAAGAAGGTAGTTTTAGCTCAGTGTGGTGGTACATGTGCATAATTCCAGCACCCTGGACGGCTGAGGCAAGAGGATCTCAAGTTTGAGCTTAGCCTGGGTAACTTAGGACTTAGCAAGAATGAATATGAGTATTTATATCTTTATGTGTATATATTTGAGGACATGTGTGTGAAGCCCTGGGTTTCAATCCTCAGTACCATTTTTGAAAAAACCAAAAATAGGAACTCAGAGGCAAGGTTTCAATCATAGATATTGGGGAATCATAAGGATGAATGGAAAAAAGCCAAGATAATAGGTGATATCACTGAGGAAGAAATTGTAGCATGAGAAGAGGACACAGGGCTCAGTCCATTTAGGGGCTAGATAGAAAAGAGGAGGTAGCAAAAGACTTAGACTTGTTAGAGAAAAGACTTAGACTTGTTAGAGAAATAGAAAAAAGACCAGGTCAATGTTCTACCTCAGAATCCAAAATGGATTTTAAAAGAAGGGAGGAGGGGAAGGGAAAATAAAAAGAATTAATATGTACATGTGCCAGCACCCCCTGATGAATAAAACATGTATTGCAAACATGTACTAAGAAAAATTTTTTAAAAATAAAATTTAAAAATAAAAGGAGGAGCTGAGGATTTAGCTCAGCCGCATAAGAACCTGCCTGGCAAGCGTGAGGTCATGAGTTTGATCCCCACTACAAAAATAAATAAATAAAATAAAAAGGAGGTATCAATTTTGCTGAGATCTTCAGTACAATGGGTACTAAAAGATGACCATTATACAGGCAGGACATAGTCATTGGCAGCCATAGTAAGGATGGTTTTGGAAGTACAGCTCATATGCTTACACAGATTCTCATGGCCTTATTAGTCTACTGTTCTCTTCTTGTAGAATTCAGTGCTTGGGCTGTTTTGTTTGTGATGTTATTTCAACCTTGTTTTGATGTTAACCTCTGCGTCATATTGGACCTGTGAGTGAGAGCTGGAAGGAGAAGATAATGAAGACCCAGGTGTGAAGTGGTTTGCCAGGGTGCCAGTGCAGCAGTGGCAGAACAAGCGTGAGAGTAAGTGCAGTTTGAAGTACACAAAAGGTTACCGGAATGTCTTCAGCTAACTTAGCACCTGGAGAACAGAGACTTGCGTTGTACTTCGTACACTTCCCCAGCCTGGTTGTTTGCTGAGGCACTTCCTCATCACTGGGATGAAATATTTGGCATCCCCAACTTTATAGACAAGTATATTTTGTTTCACAATTTCAGAAGTTTCATGCCACAGGTTTACACAGAAACAGCTTAGTGGAAGGGACTGGGTGGAGAAAACTGTTCACATCATGGCAGTTAAGACTTAGGTAGAGAGAGGAGGAGCCAGGAAGGAGACACAGGCTTTCAGGTCATGCCCCCACTGATCTGCCCCTCCAGCCCTGGCCCACTTCCTAATATTACTTTGGCCACGTGACTATCAGTGGACCAGTCCACTGATGAGCATAGTGACCCTATAATCCAGCCACTTTTCAAGCATGAAGCTTTGCTGGCAGGGGGGGTCAATCCAGATCTAAACCATAACATGTTATCTGGGAGTGTTTGAAAATACGATGTTTCATGATTTGGTCCACTGTGGGATTCTGTGCTTAGTCTTGAGGGAACAGAGTTTTCCTTTTTGTCTTCTACAGGTTATTACCTAAATTGTCACTAAGGACTGTTCCTCCCTCCCGTCTCCTTATCCCCAGTTATTCCCACGAGTTTCCTAAGGCTGATCCGCCTCTCTGGCCAGTAAACTCTTGTGTATGATGGGATGAGGGATCAGCCTGCAGGTGAGCCTTTTAGAGAGGGTACCCAAATTGCAACCTAAAACCCATTCATTTATTTCAAATTGGCAACAAGGCAATTAAATCTGAATACTGAGGTTTTAGTTTAGAAAAACAACTCATGCTTTAACCTATTTTGTCTTAAAAGAAAAACAACACATGTGCTGTGGTTCACCACCACTGTCTTGGAACCACATTGGTTGTTTTTTTTTCTGCATGCAGTTTTGAAACAACAGAGAATGACTTGGGCCACTCATGGTGTCTCTAGTTAGTTGCCTTCAACAAGAGAGACTTGGGGCTGGGGATTTAGCTCAGTGGCATAAGCGCCTGCCTCAAAAGCAGGCAGTTGTGAGTTCGATCCCTGGTACTCATAAAAAAAAAAACGAAAAAGCCAAAAAAAAAAAAAAACAAGAGAGACTTAAAGCTGGTGCTTGCTAAGTATTTTGCCATCACAGCCTCAGCCACCCACACCTACAGCCACAGTCTGATGTGGATATTACTGTCCTAAGGGCCCATGACAGGGTCTTTAGACTCCATAAAACACTGTGCTGGGAGGTGGCTGCAGGTATGTCCACCTTGTACCCATTAGGCACTTAGATCTGTTTTCAGATGATTCTTTTCATCTTGAATCTTTCCTTTTATGGTCCAGTACCTTTGGCTGATTTTTATTTCAGCTTGGTTGCATATAGAAAAATTAAAAATACGTTTTTTTAGGAATTATTTTTAAGAAATTTTAATGTAAAAATGTTGTTTTTAAGTTATTCTTTTTTGCTCATTTTGAGATGGGGTTTCACTGTGTTGCCCAGGCTGGTCCTGAACTCCTGGGGTTTCAAGCAGCATTCCTGCTTCAGCTTCCCAAGCAGTTGGGACCATAGGTGTATATTGACATATGTGGCTATAGGTGACTCCTAATGTTGTGTTATTTACCTGAAATACAGACAAATCAGGTTTCTTTCTTTCTTTTTTTTTTTTTGTCTTTTTCCTTTTTATCGGTACCGAGGATCGAACTCATGACTGCCTGCTTGCAAGGTAGGCGCTTATGCCGCTGAGCTAAATCCCAGCCCCAGGTTTCTTTTTTGACAATTTGAAGAGTCACAAGGTATTTTATGGGCTAGTGAGTATTTGAGCTCTACTAGGTATTATTAAGCTCACTGTTAGGTTTTTGTTTTGATTTTGAGAACAGGGTCTTGCTCTGCAGTTCAGGCTGGCCTCAAGCTCACAATAGTCCTGCTCTCTCAGCCTCCTGAGTGCTGGGATCACAGGTGTGTGCCACCATGCCCAGCAAGCTCGCTGTTGGATGACCTGTGAAATAGCATCCCAGCAGCCTTGTAAGGGTAGGTGATAGTATCCCCATTTTGCTAATGGTGGAGAAGTCGGGGACATGAGGAACTTGCTCAGACTTACAGAAGAAGTGGGCAGTGGGGCTATAATTCCAAGTCCAGGTGTTCTACCCTGAGGTGATGGCTCCTCTTTTTAACAAGACCCTGTGTTCTTAAGAATTGTAGACTAACTCAGAATGTGGCTTACAGTTTGGTTTAGGAATGTCTTAGTCCTTTGAATGAGCAGTCCTGCTATTCAAAATTGAGTCTATTTCTACTTACAGGATATTATAATACTTTGCATATTTCAAAGAGAAAGGTAGCCAGCTACCCATAGGAATTTTACCTGATAATTGCTTCATGGTTTCTTGTGTTGTGTCCTGAAAACATTGGTTTATAAAACTCAGTTGATCAATTATAATCCTACATGTATTACAGGTTGGAGGGGAAAGTCACTTCCACACAGGAAGTCTGCCAAAAGCAACTGAAAACTTTACTTGGAGGAATGGAACTCTACAGAGAAAACACACAGGTTGTGCTTTGAAAGAGACCATCTTTCTAAGCCATTGACTACGCAGTTGTGGTTACAAATATGTAGAGGGCCATTGTAATTCTAAGTGTATTGAAGTGTGATTCTGAAATGTAAGTTTGAGGGTGTTTCTCTTCCGTCTTTATATTTGTTTAAAACTACAATTGTGGCTGGGCATGGTGGAGCATGCCTGCAGTTCCAGCATTAGACAGGCTGAGGTAGAGGATCGCTGTGAGTTCAAGGCAAATGTAGTGCAAGGCCAGTCTGAACTACATAGTGAGACCATACCTCAAAAAACAAAACAAAACAAACTAAATAAAACCGCACCTTTTTTGGGTGTATTTTGTTTTGTTTTGATTTTGTTTTTTTGAGACAGGGTTGTATCTCGTAGTGCAGGCTGGCCTTGAACTCATGGTGATCCTCTTGCCTCAGCCTTCTGAGTACTGGGATTATAGGTGTGCACTACCACACCTAGTTTAAAACTGTAACCTTTAAACCGTGAAGTTTTAACATTTGTGGGTTATTCATCATACCCTGCAGGGATCAGCCAGGCCTCTCACTTTTATGGAATTATACAACCATGATACATTTGTGTGGTATGTCCAGCTGGTGAATAAATATGTTTATGAAAAACAATTCTGACTGCATAATATGACTTATATTAAAAAATTAAAAAGTACACAGGAGAAAAATACATAGGATTGCTGCGAGTTTGAGGTCAGCCTGGGCTACATAGTTCAAGGCCAGCCTGTACTACAGAGCAAGACTCTGTCTCAAAAAACAACAACAAAAAACCAAAAAAGTTGCAGTTTTATTTTTGTTTTTTGAGACAAGTTCCCACTGTGTAATTCAGACTGGCCTTGTAATCCTTTGCCCACTTAGAATATATATGTGTGTAGATAGATATTAAAGACACTTTCTAGTCAGTTGCTTTTTTCACTTTATGTATATTGAACAGTTTCCTCGTCAGTTACCCCATGTGTTTTAATGGTGGGATATTAAAATACAGAAAGGTCATGTTTAATTTAGCCGTTTTTTGTATTTATATATTTATTGATTGAGCCAGGTTCTCACTATGTAGTTCAAGCCAGCCTTGAACTCACTATGTAGCCCAGGCTAGCTTTGAATTTTCAGTGATCCTCCTGTCTCAGCCTCCTGAGTGCTGGAATTACGGGTGTGCA